CAGATACATTAAAATTGTACTTAAGTACAGTAACGAAGTACTTGTACTTCGTTACTTCCCACCACTGGCGCTAACCATAGCATTAGCTCCACTAATGCAGAATACCAACATGGCACTTAGTGGAAGCTAGCGCTAAAGTGCTAACACCACATATCAATGACAACATGCTAGAACACATTTATGACAAAGATCAAACCTATCACTTCTCCACTTCCTGTTGCTTCAGGAAGTGGTTCTTTGCAACGGACATTTCTGTTGTAGCTTCAGTTTTAAAGTTGCTACGTTTTATGAATCCTGCTGCTAATTTATCGTAATTAGCAGTAGAATTTGGTCAGAAAGCAGCAGAACATCAGGAGATTTTATCTGTTTACTGCTGAACTACAGCAATGCATTCTGGGTACAGAATAAACGTCATTATGCATCACAGGTGGAGAATGTGACAAGTTTCTGTTTTGGGATTGTTGTTATGGAGAATATTCACCTGTTTTATCTGGGATGGAAACGTGACTTTAGTGAAACAGACCTTTATATTATTTATGGTAAATATAATATTCAAACCTTAAACATCTCCAACAAAAACATAAATTCCAGATTTTTTTATCTTCAGTCATTTGGAGCTCTATGTAAAATCCTTAAATCAAGTTTAAATGCTGAAGCCAATCATATTAAATCTACTGTTAAAGACTTCGACCCTCGAGCAACAATTTAATGTTTAAATGATCATTTAAATGTTTATGATGCTTTTTGCTTGCTGCAGCATGTTTTGTGTTTAAATAAAGTTACTGAGGAAGAAATAAAAGAAAGCATGTGAGAAAAGGAAACAGACCTGCAGCGTAAACAGTCATTTCAAAATAAGAGCATGGAAGAAATGGCTAAGAATTAACAACTTCAACACAGATGTCGAATTTTATTTGACTGAAAATTTATAGAACAGCCTAGAAAATTAGCACTTCTTAATTAACTTAGAGGAAGCTAAGTGTGCTAAACAGTGAAGTGCTAATCTGGGAGCTAGCTCTGATATTACCACAGTAGGAGAAGGGTGGTTTATGCTGTCAGAGTGAATATTGTGACGTGCTTCACTTCAGTTTGAATGAATAAACCTGCCTTGGCTGCCTGGATGTCCAGCTTTGACTGTCCTGAAGTTTTATTATCACAGGATCTGGTTCCAACGCTGGTTCTGAAGCAGAACCGCGTCCGTTTCCCCAAACGCGCCGCCTCGGACTCACCTTCACGCCGGTTCTGGACTCGGCCCTGAACTTCGCCTCGAAGGACCGCAGCAGGGCCGAGTTGAAGAACGTGGGCTCCCTCAGACTGGAGGTCATGACCTTCCTCACCACGTCCTCGTTGTAGGCCTCAAATTTGAAGTCGTCCAGGATGCGGCCGTCCCTGGCCACCAGGCGGTAGGCCAAGCTGGGGGTGATGGCGCTGTTGGTGCAGCACAGGCGTGGCACTGAGGAAACGTAGCGGGCGATCTCAGGCAGGAAGGCCTGGAGTTTGCTCTGGCTGCTCACCAAAGTCTCGCCGCTTCGCCGAGAGATATCGAAGCCCATGGCGATGTCGATGGAGCAGTCTGCAGGAAGGAAAGCTCATGTTTGGGTTCTGATGGAGAATGAAACTCAGCCTCAGACTGAACTTGTAACTCACCAGGCTGGTCTGTTGAAGGTTTGGACTTGCAGATGGTGTCCACTACCTTCTGTTTGATTGCATCCAGGCTGCCAAAGTTCTGCACTGTGAACATCTTCCTGGGGTCTTTGGTGATCTGCAGCAGCTGCAGGTCGTGGACGTCGCCAACGCCGATGGCGAACATCTCAATCCCCAGGGCTCTGAGACGATCGGCCGGCTGCTCCACCTCATCCTGTGAATCTCCGTCCGTGATCAGGACCAGATTCTGTGAGATTCCTGAAGATCTCCGGCTGCCGCGAGAAACTTCAAAATATTCCCTGATGGAGTCCAGAGCCAGTCCAATGTTGGTGCCTCCACCCTTATGCCTCATGTTGAAGATGTGGGCAGATACCTCCGTCTCCTGGTAGAACCGGTTGAGGTAAAACTCATGCTGGAAGCTGCTACTGAACTGGGCGAGTCCAACGCGAACCAAATCCTCACCGACTTTAAAGCTGTTCACCAGTTGAATGGTGAAGTTCTTCATGATGGAGTAATCGTTGGAGCTGATGCTGCCAGACTGGTCGACGAGGAAAACCAGGTCAGCCTGCTGCTTCTCACAAACTGCAGAAGCAACGACAGGAAGTAGCATGAGGAAAGCTGAACATCTCAGAGAGTTCAGTGATCCCAGCAGTGGTGCCACCGCTAGCTACAAAGCTAATTGTGCCAACACTAACACACTAACCATAAACATAGTAGTTAATGGAAACTTATGCTGAAGCACTATACCAATGCGGTATTTAGCTGATGCTAAAGCTAGAGCGCTATACAAACACAGTATGTAGAGGAAGCTAATGCTGAAGCGCCATATCAACCTAATAAATAGTCTATTGATAAGCATGATAACAGTATTAGTGGTAGCTAACGCTAAAGCGCTAACCATATATAGTAGTTTTCCTTATATGTTAACCCATCATGGGAACAAAAATATAAACACCTCATGTCAGATATTGTTGCCATGTGGAGTTAACAACAGTAAATGAACATTTGCTGACGTTTTATTGTTGAAAGCTAATATTTCTCTTGATCTGTGTATAATTTTTAATCCAAGCTGCTGTCAGTGAGCATCACTCAGTTATTTACTCAGTGCATTGTGGGACATGTCCACTGGGTAGATGAAAACAATTGGACAATAAAAGGCCCCAACACGTCACATGATGTCTCCAGTCATAAAGCCTCAGATGTTCTGTGGAGCCGTTGGCGTGTTGGATGCAGGACGTCCAGCACAGCAGCAGCTCTGGTATCGGACCGCCGGCCGTTTCAGAGCTGGTTTCCAACAGACTGCAGATCCTCCTCATCCTCGTCTGACCGACTCCAGATCGTCCATCGGAGGATCGGCTCAGACCAGCGACACACAGCTGATCGGTCTGAACAACAGACGCATCAGACTGTCTGTAACCGCTACGGGAAGCCGACTGGGTCAGAATCAGACTCCTCATCCTGACCCCGATCATGACTGTCAATCCACTACAAACGGCTGAACCACGATGATATCAATGCCGATATGAAGATCAGTAATTACTGAAAATATAGTTTGAGTTTCTCTATATATTGCGTAACCCAAATGTTAATAAAACTCTTATATTTGACACGGGGCTTTAGATGTTTGTTGAATAACCACAATGACACAATGTGTGCTACAACAGAGTATATCGCCCTCCACAGGGTCAAAACTGCAACTACACTCCTAACTGTGCTGCTCTTCTTTAATGCGTTCATGTCAGTAATCCTCCTTGCGTCCGTTCATTTGTGTAAATGTTTATCAATAGGAAGCAGAATTGAAAGGACTTCAAAATAAAAGCAAAGATGTGTAACTACTTGAATTCTTGACCATCGATACCCAAAACTTCAACAAAGATGCCGCACTTCATTCAACTGAGGCTGAATCATGCTATTAGCACATTAGCTGGAGCATGCTCCAACTGCAGCTCAGGTTCTTACTGCAACGTCGGATGAAAGGGACTGTCTCACCTGGCTTGGTGGAGTTGCAGAGCACCTGGCTGATGTTCTTGTAGAGGGTTTCCAGGGCTTTGAAATTGTCCACGTAGAAAACCTTGGACCGATCGTTACCAGCCATGATCTCCAGCTGGGTCACGTTGGCTCCTTCCACCCCGATAGTGAACACGTTGACTCCTGCGTTCCTGAGCGCCGCAGACGGCTCAACCAGGCTGTAGTGGTCGGTAGCGTCTCCGTCGGTGATTACCATGAGGATCTGAGGCACCTTCAGCGCCGCCCGGCCCCCATGCTCAGCACCGAAGAACTGCAACGAATACGTCAGGGCCCGTCCAGTGTAGGTGTCTCCCAGCAAGGACCTCAGGGCTGTTATGGCCTTAAAAACCTCTTGTCTGGAGCTGTACTGACTCAGAGTGAAGACAGACTTGGGGAAGGTGGAGTAGAGGATGACGCCAAAGCGAGTCAGGTCTTTGCCCACCATGGTTTGGTTCACCATGGACTGCATGAACTTCTGCATGCTTCTGAACTTGTCCAGGGTGATGCTGGTGGAGCCGTCCACCAGGAAGATGATGTCTGCCTGTTCCGTCTTCTTGCAGTCTGGAAGTGAAAAAGGAAAGCCAGTCAGATGAGCAAAAGCAATCTTGTCCTATGTGGCAATCATGAATCACCCCATTTTATGATTCAGTTTCACAGTTCATGCCCAGAAATCACCTAGATAGAACCTTTCTGACAAGGACGTAGGCTAGAAAACCTCAGAAAGTTACTGTCACTATCCTTGAAATGTTCTGCGGACTTAGAGGCAACAGTGGGGCTCTGGTGTAAGACTAATGGCATCTCAGAACCAGAACATCACATAGCTACAGTCAGACACGGTGGTGGTAGTATGATGGTCTGGGGATGCCTCAGGCTATACTTTGACCATCTGTGACCTTAAGCTCACTGAAGGATGTAGAAAGACAATGACCCGCCAGCAGGTTAACCTCTGGGTGGCTCCAACGAGCCTGAGGTTCTGAACTGGCCCAGTAAAGTGGACTTCAACCTCAAGTCCACTCGACTTGAGACAGAAGCTACTATAAGGAAAATAAACAAACACCTTTCATAGCCTGGAAACATAATACTTTCTGACCTCTCTCTGGATCACACAGATCCAGGGACAGCTGTCTCTCCAGATCCTTCAGAGCATCGAAGTCCCTCTCAGCGTACATCCTCTCTGCAGAGCCGCTGATCTCAAGCAGCTGGGTGGTGTTGGCCTCCATCACTCCAATGGCGTAGACCACAACCCTCTTGGCCCTCAGCGCCTCAGCAGGAGCTTTGACGTCGTCTTGAGCCTCGCCATCAGTAATCACCACCAGCCTCTGTGGCAGGTCTGGGCGTCCTCCTCTGGCTGGATCGAAGAGCTGGGACACCGCTGAGATGGCTGCGCCGGTGTTCGTTCCTCCGCCCATCTGTGTCATGCTGTCAATGGCCACTATCATGTCATTTTTGGTGAAGTGCTCAATGAGGGAGAACTCGGGCTTCTGGCTCCTGCTGAACTGCATCACACCGACATGAACCTTATTCCTGCCAACAAAAGATGTGCTGATGACAGATTTCATGAAGTCCTTCATTTTGTTGTAGTCGTCTGGGTGGATACTTCCAGAGCTGTCGATGAGGAACAGCAGGTCACCTGGTACATCTTTACAAACTGTAGACAAATGGACACAGACATGGGATGAGAAGCCTTAAAAATGTTCATCATGCCTCTGAAATCCACCTACAACCTTTTACTAAACATTCTCCAAACTTTTCTGGAGGATATCTACTTTCCACCGATCCTCCCGAATAAACCAGTACGCTTACCGTCTGTGGTACAGATGTCAGTGATAATATCGTCCTTGATTGGATTGAGAGCATCAAAATTGTTAACAAAGAACATCCTCTTTGGGTTGCCAGAAATCTCTTCCAGTTCTCTCACAACAGCGTCCTTCACCCCGATGGCGTAGGTGATCACGCCCTGCGCCCTCAGAGCCTCTGCAGGAGCCTTGACCTCATCTGCAGACTCTCCGTCAGTGATGACCACCAGGTACTCAGAAACTTTGTGACCGCGGGTCACCATGGCTCTTTTAAAGAGCGGACCCATGAACTCCAGAGCTTTCCCAGTCTTTGTGCCGCCTCCCACCTGTCCGATCTCCTCCACTGCTTTCTTCAGCGTCTCCTGATCCGAATGGGTCGTCAGATCAAATTCCAGTTCTGGCAAATCTGCATATTTTGCGACTCCTATGCGGATATGTTGTGGTCCAATACGAAAAATGTTGATAAACTCAAGGATGAACTTCTTCATGTCTTGAAAATCAGACGGGTAAATACTTCCTGAGTGGTCGATGAGGAAGAAGATCTCAGCTTCATCTGTTTGGACGCAGCCTGTGAAGCAAACACAAACAGGACATTTGTTCCCAGTAGGTTAGTGAAAGCTGTGAATATCTGTAGGTTGTTTTTGTTGCAGACCTTCTCTGATGCCGGATCTTCTTGCGCTGACTGACACCGCCTGGCGGATGATGTTGTAGCACAGAGTTTTCTGCAGGTACTGTTCCAGCGATTTCAGTCTGGCGAAGCTGTCCACCATGAAGACGTGTTTCTGTGGAGGGTGGGAGGCTATCTGCCTCAGCTCCTCCTCATTGGCATTTTGGACTCCCACGGAGTAAACAGTGACTCCGGCACGCCGAAGCTCAGCTGCTGCCTGGCTCAAGTTGTCCTGAGACTCTCCATCGGTGATCACTACAGCCACCTGCTCCACACCTTTATCCTTCCTGCTCCCTTTCTCTGTGATGAAGACGTTCTCCCGTGTGAAGTTCAGGGCAGCCCCGGTGTTCGTACCACCTCCACGGTAAGGCAGGATTTTGACGAAGTTCAGTAGTTCGGTTTTCTGCTTGAATGTGTTGAGGTAGACCTGCGCTGTGGGGTGCTCGTTGTACAACACGATCCCCACTCGGACTCTGTTTGGATCAATTTCCAGGCCGCTGATGATCGAGTACAGGAAGGAACGCACCAGCTGGAAGTTTTGGACGGTGATGCTTCCTGACTCGTCCACGATGAACACGATATCGGCCAGTTTGGCAGCTCTGCAATCTGCAGAAAAATCAGAAATAATGTCAAACACCCAGCTTGGCATGATGTGGTTAAAGTTCTCCTTAAGTGCTTAAAAAGCAGATCATTTGTAATTGTGATGATCAGATTTACTGATGCTAACGTCGGAGCAGCGCTCATCTTAAGTGGATGAGCTACAGCAGCAGGTAGTCAGGCTACAATTAAAGTTAAGTGGAACTAACCTTGAGTCAGAGACTTCTCGGGTTCCTCGGTCTCAAAGATGCGTCTGAGCAGAGGAACAGTAGTGGTGTTGACCCGGTAGACATGCTCTCCAGTGGCGACCACGCGCAGCTCCTCCATGGACGCTCCGAGGCTCATCCCCACCACAGTGATGGCTTCTGACTGGATTTGACGGGATCCGAAAAACACATGATCACTGGAGTCATTCCCGCTCATAACAACCAGGAACTGTCGGTAGCCTTGATCTGCTCGGCTTCCCGCCTCCTTGGTGAAAAAGTTAGTGCTGGCGTAGGTCAAGGCGGCGCCCAGGTTTCGTTTTGCAGCAGGTGGAAGTCGGAGATACTGGAAGCTCTTCACTGCAGCCTGGATCTGCTCTCTGGTTTGATGCTGGTTGAGGAGAAACTCCACCTTCACTTGTTCACTATACTGGGCCAAGCCCAGGCGATAGGCAGATGCTCCAAAGTTAACCTGATTGGCCAGTCGGGTGAGGATCGTTCTGACCTGCTGGAACTGAGTTTGTGTCATACCGCCATCCACCAGGAAGAAGATGTCTGCAAACTTCTCTGCCAAAGCTGAAAGAAGGAACAACACTGAATGAGTTCTGGAGGTCAGACGTGCTGAACTGGTCCAACTCAACCAGCAACCAACTCTAGACTGGGAATAAGAAAGTCTCTAAGCTAAGGCTGTTCTTGAGACCAAATGTTGACCTCGAGCATCACAGGAAGCAGAATTCAGCACATCATGCTTCTAAGACCAGCTACAATGTGAAACACCAGACTGCAAAAACAGCAAGCAAATCTGACACTGACGTCTGCTTTAAATCCAAAAGCACCATGGGAAGACCTACTGAGGGAGTTTGGAGGCCCTGCAGCTCTCACCTTGTCGTTGGTCCTCCATGGAGACACAGACGGTTTGCAGCAGACCCCCCGTCAGCCTCTGCAGGGCCTCGTAGCTGTCAATAGTGAACAGGAAGCGCTGAGACGGCTGGTTAGCGATGTTCTCCAGCTCCTCCAGATTGGCCTTTCCCACCCCGATGGCGAAGACGATGACCCCCTGTTCTCGCAGTCGCAGGGCCGGGTCCGTCACATTGTCGGACGAGTCTCCGTCAGTGATGACCACGGCAATCTGAGGCACTCTCTGACTCGCTCGGCTGCCTGCCTCCTCCGTGAAGTACTCCGACATCAGGAAGTCTATGGCCTTGCCGGTATTCGTGCCTCCGGCCCGGTAGGGAAATTTCTGTATTGCAGTCATCAGAGATGGAGCGTCCAGATGCTCCTTCAACAGAAACTCTTTGTGAGGGTTGGTGCTGTACTGAGCCAGGCCAACCCGGACTTTGTCTGGACCAATGTCAAGACCGGAGACAACACTTTGGAGAAACAACCGAACTTGCTGAAAGCTGGGGATGCCAATGCTGGAAGAGCCATCGACCAGAAAGACGATGTCGGCCATGTTGGCTACGGCACATTCTGCAAAGAAGAAGAAGAAAGTTAAACACTGTAAAAACTGGTTCTGGTCTGAGTGTTTCTGAACTCCGAGTGTTTGGAAGAGAAACATCCTACAAACCTCAGAGGTTTCTGTTCTGAAGAGAGATTATTTAATCAGGTGTTTCCCAGAGCTGAGTTGCAGAACTCACCATTCGATGATCTGCCGTCTATTCATCAGTAAAATGTTACTCAGCAGGGTTCGCGGAGGCAGATCCTTTAGTTTTCTGGCTCCTCTCCTGTTGAACCAGCTGCTCGTTTACTCAGACAGACACCCTGAATACTTTCTGGATCAGTCCTAAACTTTCCTCTGACTGGATCCGGTTATTCTGAAACATCTCTGGAATTTTCTGTACTTACTGACATCATAACAGTCTACCTACTTTCTTGTAGAAACTCCTGGCTCAATGGTTGTGTCTGGAAAAAAGTCGCGACAGATTGTTGCCTATATTGTTTTTGGTTCTCCTGAAGCTTTCTTCCTGTTAAAGGGTTTGTTCCTCTCCACTGTCACCCTGCTCAAAGCGAGAGTGATTAAATCTGTCTGTTTTTAGCGAATATCTTCCCATAGCTTTGATTAGGACCTCAGGACCTTGATGATCAGCTTGTGGCCCCAAGGGACCAAACTGGGTTTATCCTAAAGGAAACGGACCAATCACAGCTTTCCAGATCAGAGCTCTGGATGTGCGACCAGACCGGTCTTTACCTTGAGACATCTGCTGGACTTGTCTCTTGGCCTCCTCCACTGTGGTGCAGAGCGTCTGGACGATGTTCTGGGAAATGCCCTGCAGAGCGGAGAAGTCCGACACGCTGTGGACGTGCTGACTGTGCGGCTGGTTAGCTATCTGCTTCAGCTCATCTGCATCCGCGTCCTTGATGCCGATGGCGTACAGAATAATCCCCTTGTTCCTCAGCCTCTCCGCATGGCGCTCCACCTCGTCCTGCGATTTGCCGTCGGTGATGACCACGGCGATCTGCGGCACTCTCTGCGCCGCGCGGCTCCCAGCTGACTCCACAAAGTGCTTGTTCAGTACGAAGTCCAGGCCCTTCCCAGTGTTGGTTTCGCCCCCCAAGTACGGTAGGCTCTTGATGTACTCCAGGATCTCATTCTTGTCCTGAAAGGTGTTGAGCTGGAACTCGGTACGTGGCATGGAGCTGTACTGGACCAGGCCGACCCGAACGTGATCGGGACTGACATCGAAGCTGTTGACCAGCGTGTAGAGAAACTGACGGATCTGATTGAAGTTCTTGGTGCCGATGCTCCATGAGCCGTCCACCAGGAAGACCAGGTCAGCTATGGCCTCTTGGGTGCAGACTGAGGGAGGGTGGAGGTCAAGGAGAGCGCTGACAGAATTTAACAGAACCGGACCGGACCTCAGGTGAGGAAGCGTAGCGTGATTTCAGAGTAGAGGTGGTGGTCTTATCATGTTGAGTGAAAGGAAAATAAGTAGCGTGATTCCTGATTCGGTCCGGTTCTGGAAGGTTTCTGGATGCCAGCAGCGGGGATAGAGATCACAGCCAATCGTAGAGAGCTCCTCTAAAAACCCTTACACCTTCATATTCATTAATACGCACCGTGGAAATCGGCTTAGCTAATGTGCTATTAGCAGAGCTAATTATTCATTAGATCTTTTTGATAACTTTGAAAACATTTAGCATACTTAGCTTCCCCTAAATTAATTTTTAAGGATAAATGCTACAGCGTTAATTTACTTGGCTGTTTTGTGAATTTTCAGTTAAATTAAGTTACTCATGCTCTTATTTTGAAGTCTGCTTATGCAGCAGTTCCGTTTCCTGTCTTCACGTTCTCCAACTGTGATCCAGTTTTAAACATACACATAATATAAGAGTAGACCCCGCATTGGCCGCTCCGGCGCAGGAAATACGGCGGCCATCTTG